CACCCCCACTTCTGAGAGAGTGCGGGCCTCATCTGTAGATGTGGGGCCGGCACCGTCTGAGAAGCAGCCTCCTTCTAAGAAGCCTCCCCCCCTCCCCCAATGCCCCCTTGTGCGCGCCGCCAGCTCTGGGGCCCGCGGCCTGAGGAGACCACTCCTCGGATGTTTGGACGCACCTGCGCCCGATCCTGGCGCGGCCGATCTGATAGATAGGCTTATGTCGGGCATGTCCGTTTATTGGAGGGATACTCAAAGATGGTAACATAGCCTGGGTATGATTTTTGGAGTGTTGTTCTAACATATTTGAATGTGTTTGACTATATTGTCCTTTGTCCTCCAAGGTCCGCCTGCAGGAGCACATGCCCGACCTAAAGATGGGCCCATGGTCGGCAGGCGTGTGCCCTTCCTAGCCCCCGCCGCGTGGGCGCGTGCCCCGATCCTGGGCCGAGGTGTGGGGCCTGGCCAGGATCGGTTTGGGTGTTCTAGGGTTAAGTTGGGCACGCCCCTCTGCGGGAGGAATATTTGAAAATAGTCCAAACTAGTCTGGGAACGATTTTTCAAAAATTGTTTGACCAGTTTGGGGTAGTGTTTGTTATTGTCCGTCCAGAATTCTTCCGCCTGTAGGGGGACATTCCCGACCTAATTCTTGGCCTCCTGGGTGGGGTCGGAGTAGATGGGGTCAGAGGATCGCGCCGCATCGCCGATGCATCGGCGATGCGGATCGATGTGGAGCCCGAGTTTCTCTACGGCGATGGCTCCGATGCCTCGCCGACGTCGGCGATGCGGCGCGATCCTCTGACCCCATCTGCTCGGACCCCATCGAGGAGGACTCCATCAAGGCATCCTCCCCCTTACTGTAAGGATGAGCCACTGTCCAGGTGTCACCCCTGCATCCTCCCCCTTCGGCCCATCCCTGGCCGCTTTCGCTGGCCGCGCCCCGCTCGCAGAGTGGCGGCGTGGCCCTCCGAGGCCCTTGCATCATCATCGTGCGTCCTTGTTAGACGGGTTGACTGTGGGTATGTTTGGATGTCCAGATCCCAAGTTTCTTCCCGAGCCCTCCTGCCTCGAGAATCGAGGCGTGTTTATTGCTTGTCGTTGTTATTTGGGCGGGCTTCGTCCCCAACATGGGTGTCGTCTCGTGTGCCCGACGCGGGCTCGATGTGGACTCGACGCGGATTTGGCGCGGACCCGACGCAGATTCGACACGGATTCGACACGGATCCGACGAGTCCGACGTGGATTCGACACGGATGGGGCCGCGACGGGACAGACGAGGTCCCCCGAAGATGAAACATATTTTTCTGTTTCACCCGCCCTCCTAGTTCATGTTCCTACCTACTTCCTCCGCCTGGCGGGCACAGCGGGTGCTCTCCTGTCGGGAGGCCGAGGAGGGCGCGACCGTGCTCCTGGTCGCCAAGCTGACGCTCCAGGCCGCGGGCCGCCGCCCGGGGGGGGCATTGAGGAGGAGGAGGAGGAGGAGGAGGAGGAGGAGGAGGAGGAAACCGAAGAGGCCCCGGCCAGGCGGCCACGAGCGAACCCGAGGCCTCCAATGGACATGCTTGCCAGCGTTCGGACGCGGTTTCTTCGGGGCCGCGCCGGGCTCGGTCCGGTCGCCGTTCGTCCTGCCCGGCCTGGGCCGGGGTCGCATGGCCGCCACGGGGCCCGGCGGTCGCGGGGGCCAGAGAGCAGGCGAAGCAGCGGAGCCCGGGTTCGGCCGATGTGGACGGCCTCGTTGCGGCTGGTGGGTGCGGAGCTGTGCCGGAGGTCTGCCCGCTCCTCGCCAGCGGGCGGCGCGCGGGCGCGAAGGCTGCCGCGCCTCGCGCGTCTCCGCCTCTCGGGCGCGAGGCACGAGGTTGGCTCACACGCCGGTCGTCGGAGTTGGGTGTTTCTGCACCCCCAGATCCCAACTTTTCAGGTGGGGAAAGGACACACAGATACAATTTGTCGTCGACTCCCCAGACAATGTGGGAAGATTTGGGAAGTGGTGGGGAAGACAAAAACCCAGAAAATATGGGGAAATGTGGGGGATCATGTTATTTGTGTGTATTTATTTGTGTGTCCCAGGGCCCCTTCAAATCTACTTTAGGCGCCTTTCTGCCTCAGGGGTCGATCGTTTTTTCCCCCTTCCCTCCTCTTCATGGGGGCGGGCTGAAGCCCAGTCTACGCCCGCTGCCTTCCCACTGCATTGTTTTACCTGCTTCTTCCGATTGATATGTGTGCCCAGATGGACGGCTATCCCGGCACGGCCTGCCCGGCTGCTGGGGCCCCCCTTGCCCTCATCTCGGGGGCGGCCAGGAGGGGGGTGATCACAAGGGGTTGGCGGGTAACATGGCGGGGGCCATGATGTCTTACCAGATTTCATGGCGCTTCTTCTTTCGTCATTACGTCCCTGGCCCCCCCCCCCTGGGACGCGCACATGGCGCCGGCCATGATCTGCGCCCCCCCCCTCTTGGACGCCGCCCTCTTGGCCGACCCCGACCCTCGGAGTGGTCGAGTGGCCACGCCCTCCAGGACGGCAGCGTGGCCGTGTGCCGGGTCCGCGCTGCCGACCGGATCAAGACGGTGGCGAAGAATTTTGTCAGGGAGCACGCGCTGGACGCGACGGTCGAGGACCGCGAGCCAGCATAAGGATGATGATGATGCACTTCTTCGGTGGCAACTCAGGGGAGCCTGGTATATATACATATATATATATATCCTTCTCAATTCCGTCTTTAGCGTCGAATGCGATCGATCAGCGCCTGGGGGTCGATGAGTTGGCGCCGATGTAGCGTCGATTTGGCGTTGATGAAGCGTCGATTTTGCGTCGCTTCAGCCTCGATTCAGCGTCGACCAGCGTCGATCCGCGTCGATTCGCGAGAGCCGACAAGATGGTATGGGAGTCTCCCACGAGTTGCCACCGAACACTTTCGCAGGTCCAGGTGGGGGGCGACCCCCGGGCCCAGTGGCGGCGTCTCCGGCACCGCCCTTGGCGCGCACGCCTCGTGCCGGGTGCCCACTCGCAGTGTGCCCACTCGCAAACGTCCTAGAAACACATGATGTCCGCTGTGGCGTAATTTCTCGTAGATCCTCCGCGGGGGATCCAGGCCGTTTGCGAGTAGATACTTTGCGAGCAGTGGAACGCGCTCGTGTAGTGGGGAGGGGGAGGCCCAGTCACCGAGCGCGCTCCACCACTCTTACGTCGGGCATGTCCCTCGACAGGAAGGATATTTCCAAAGTGGTCAGCAAATAGTCTTCGGACGATGTTTCGATCATTCTGTGAATCTCCTTGATCATGTTTGGACTATGTTCAACAATTTGTCTTCCAAACCCGCCTGCAGGAGGACATGCCCGACCTCACACCACTCGCAAAGTGTCTACTCGCAAGCGTCCGAAGTACACACGCCTGCCTCGGCGTGGTGCATCTTGAGGCTCCCGCTGCGGATCTGGGCCACCTGCGAGTGGCTACTCTGCGAGTAGTGGAACGCGCTTGTCTAGGGAGGCGCATCGCAGACCCACGAAATCCGGCGGACTCCCGAAAGTGTGTGTGTGTATGTGTTCCTCGTCTTCCCGCCGCCGCCGGGCGCCTCCTCCCTCAGCCTCCTGCATGCTGGCTTAATGCGCGTTTCGTGCAATCACCAACGACGTATCGCCAGCGCAGTGAGTCTGCCTATTATAACCGCCGACGAAACGTGTATGTGTGTGTATGCCCATGCCGTTTTGTGGAGGAGCCGCTCCGGAAGTACCTGATGAAGGCGGAGTCGGACGCCGAGACCTTCCCGGTCTCGCTCGAGGCTCCGCGGACGAAGGACGGCACCGCAAGTCGGCCTCTCCGCCATCGGGGACGCGTGTCCCAGGTCGGCTGGAAGAGTTGATGCCTGCACGGAGGAGAAGCAGGAGAAGGAGCAGGAGGAGGAGGAGGAGGTAGAGGAGGAGGAGGAGGAGGAGAAGGAGGTGGAGGAGGAGGAGGATTGCCGCTGTAGGGGTACAGTCAACCCGCATAATAAGAATGGGCATCTTTCCCAAGGGTACCCTTGCAGCCTTGCCTCCTCGGTCCATCCTTGGCCACTCTCGTTGGCCGCGCCCCGCTCGAGAAGCTTCGAATGGGCGTCCAGGGCCCTTGCATCCTCGTCGCGAATCCTTGCGACACGGGCCGACTGTATGAGCCTACCAGTCGCCCCGGGACCCTGCGTCCCCGATGGCGGAATGGTTTCTTGGGGTGCCGTTCCCCGTCTCGCTCGAGGCCGACCTCGCCGAGATCTGCAAGTAGTGATTCGGGGGCGCCCGCGCGGGGGCCGCCCCCGCAGCGCTGGCGCGGGGCTGCGCGCGTCCTCGGGCCCAGCTCCCACCCTGACGTCAGGCGTCGTGGACACAACCACCGGACAGCGAGCGGGGCTCTCGACCCCGCCCTCACGCGAGAGTTGTCGTTCGGTCGATCTGCGCGAGGATTGGCCGCCAGGGCGTCTTCAGACACGTGCGCCACATCAAAATGTTCGCCACGCCGCAGTGTCTCACGCCCTCGGCCTCCGCCTGCGGAGCGAGGAGCCTCCCTATAGGCTTCTGGACAGCATTGGGCTTGGTCGATCTGCGAGGACGGCTGCCCCGAACTCACCAGGGCGACTCCTGGCCCAAGGCCCCCTCCACCCACCCCCACCACTTACGTCACAGCTCGCGTAAGACCCGCTTTCGATCGTCGATCACTTGGCGATTCCAGAGGAGCGCTGGAAAACGAGCGGCCCTTCACCTGACCACTGGGACGATGTGTCGGGACGATCGAATTGGGTACGGGAAGAATGGGTGCAAAGACCGTCAGCAGTCCCTGCTCATTTTGGGCAGGACTCACTGTCGGCCTCTCCGCGGACTGTGTCCATTTCAGACTGAAGGCCGCCTGCCCAACAGAGGCCGCTGGATGGTTTGTGACAACATTTGTCGTTGGACACTGCACTGTGGATTTCTTAATGAGCGAGGGGGGGGCCCCTCGACGGGGGTCAACCTCGCCTCGTCGTCGCGCCGCGACGGGGGTCGGAGCGCCTTCGGCGCGCGGTGGCTGCCCGCGACGGGGGTCGATGTGGGCCTGTCGGCGAGGATGACGCCCCCCCACGCTTATCAAGAAACCCAGAGCGCCCATTTTCTCCGTACAGTGGGGGCCCATGCCAAGAAACAGTTTGCTTGGCTCCAGGGTGCCCTGGGTTTCTTGGGTTTCGATGGTTGTGCCACGGAGAGCGTGACGCTCCCGCACCAAAAATCCATGGACGTCCTGGGGTCTCAGAGTTGGGTTTCTCATGGAAGGTTTTTTGTTGTCGGGCCCCCTCTGTACCACACGGCGCCCGGGATAACGTCTCCAGAGGTTTTCTGGAGGTTCTCCGACCTCCGGAGGTCCTCCGGAAGTTCTCCGGAGGTTCTCCAGAGGTTCTCCGGAGGTTCTTCGGGGGGTTCTCTGATCTCCGGAGGTTCTTTGGAGGTTCTACTCTGGGTTTTCTATAATAAGCGCGGGGGGGGGACCCCCATTTTCTCCGTACCCATTCTCATCGCGCCAACATCGCAGAGCGGATGTCGTTCGGAAAACAGTAGGATGGTCCCGGAGTGTCCTGGGCAAGTTCGTTCAGGATTTCGAATGGATGTCCGAGCGATGGCCAGTGGGCGGCCCGCGGCCCCCCGTGCCTGGGAAGGGCGGGGGGGGGGGGCCGCGGGGGCCGGGCCGCCTGGCGGCCCTGGGCCGGCGGCGCCCGCACCCGGGTCCGGGGGGCCTCGGCTTACCATGGGGCTCGGCATCGCTCGGACGGTGTGCACTCTTTCTTCTCGGCGGGGATTATTTCGGCAGCGGAGAAGAGGGGGCTGATGACTAGGGGGGGGTGGATTTCATGGCGCGGGCCATGATTTTTCCTCTGATTTCATGGCGCCTCTTCTTATTTCATTACGTCCCAGGCCCCCCCGCTTGGCCGCGCACCTGCCGCCGGTCATGATTTTCACCCCCCCCCTCTTGGACCCCCCCTCTTGGCCGCTCCCGATTATTAAGGAGCATCCTGGAGCATCCTGCGAAGAAGCCACGCACGGAGCCGACAAAAAAAGCACAGGGCATGGACGTCCGAGCGACGGGGAGGGGGCCCCCAGGGGGGAGCGGTGGTCGGGCCGCGATCCGGGCTGCCCCGCGTCCGCTGCGGGTGCAGGTGGGGGCCCATGCTCAAGTCGGTCCTGTCCCTCTGCAGGGGGACTCTTCAAACATAGCCAAAACACAGTCCAGGGACGCTGTTTTGAACATTTGTTTGCCATCTTGGGGTATTGTTTGACTATTTTTTATTTTTCGTCCACAATCCCTTTGTAGGGGGACAGGCCCGACCTAAGCCCATGCCAAGAAACACCCTGCTCGCCTCCAGGGTGCCCTGGGTTTCTTGTGGGTCGCGATGGTTTTGGCCGTGGAAGGCGTGCCGTCAACATTTTTAGATACGGTGACATTTTTAGAAACGAGTAGCTATGTTTAGACATGTTCTGATACGGTTCAATATGGCGCTCATCGCTGGAAAGCATGTTTTCCAAATTAGCCTGGCGAAGAACCCAACCATATGCAGTTGTGAGTACCGCAATTGTGAATATCTTCTTCGGTGGCGTTCCCTATGGGGCCACGAAGCGCTGTACTGGGTGGGTAAAACGCAGAAAGCAAGCAAGGGCCGTGTTGGGTGGTGGCGGACGCATGCGGGCGGTGCCACTGGAACTTTCCGTGGAGCTCCCTATGGGGCCCCGAAATTTTGTATTGGGTGGGTGAAACGCAGGGAGCAAGGGCTGTGCTGGGTGGTGGCGGACGCATGCGGGCGGTGCCACTGGGACCTTCGGTGGAGCCCCCTATGGGGCCACGGAGCGCTGTACTAGGTGGGCGAAACGCAGGGAGCAAGGGCTGTGCTGGGTGGTGGCGGACGCATGCGGGCGGTGCCAGTGGGACCTTCGGTGGAGCTCCCTATAGGGCCACGAAACGTTGTACTGGGTGGGTGAAACGCAGGGAGCAAGGTCTGTGCTGGGTGGTGGCGGACGCATGCGGGCGGTGCCATTGCGAGTTTCGGTGGGGCCCCCCTTATGGGGCCACGGAGCGCTGTATTGGGTGGGTGAAACGCAGGGAACAAGGGCTGTGCTGAGTGGTGGCGGACGCATGCAGGCGGTGCCACTGGGACCTTCGGTGGAGCTCCCTATGGGGCCACGAAGCGCTGTACTGGGTGGGTGAAACGCAGGGAGCAAGGGCTGTGCTGGGTGGTGGCGGACGCATGCGGGCGGTCCCACTGGGGGCTTCGGTGGAGCTCCCTATGGGGCCACGAAACGCTGGGTGAAACGCATGGAAGAGGGAGGGGGGAGGAGGAGGGGGAGGAGGAGGAGAGGAGAAGAGGAACGCGGGGACCGTCTCTTCAAAACGAGGACCCAACACCACAGGATGGTTGGGACAAAAATAGATATGAATAGATACGGCGCCATGTCTCCACTACCAGGCCTAGGCCGTTCAATTCCCACGAAAGGGAAGACAATACACATGCCAGTCCGGACGACGATGATGATGAGGAGGAGGAGGAGAAGGAGGAGGAGGAGGAGGAGAAGCAGGAGGAAGTGAAGTGGGAGATCCTGGACGGCTGGCGAGCCGAACGATCATGAGG